AATAAATAAAATCTTAAAAAAAAAAAATGCAGGCTCAGAATCAGCAGGTCTGGGGTGGATTTTAAGCAAACTCCGAGGTGATGCCTATTCTGCAGGTCCCAGAGATGGAGGAGGGAGAAAGCTGGGGCATCTATGTAGGTATGAGCTCTGACTGGGAAGGCCTCTTTGCTTTCAGGCAGGGCTGACTGACCACAGACTGTCCTCTTGCTTTATCAAATTCCCAAAGGAAAAGCTCCTTCTCTGCCTTACAGGCATTTACTTCTTACTCAGACCTTCTTGCTCATACAAATATCCACAGGCTTGAAGACTTCTCTCAAGCTTTAGATTTTTCTTTCAGCCAAAGGTCCCCCAGTTACATGAATGGACACACTGCTGTATGTAACTTGATGAGACTGTTACAGGATGCAGGCTTCCAGGCACCACCCTGTGGTTTCTGGTTCTACTGCTCTGTTTTTTTTGTTGTTGTTGTTTTAAGCACACCCCCCGGATGTGGTCCGACGTGCACCAGGTTTGGGACCCTCTGCTTATGGCCCCAACAGCTTCCACCTCATGCCAGGCGTTTCCATTCATGCAGCCTGTGGACAAGCATCTTCCCTCACACACGGGAAAGAAGCCTGAGTCCCAGCTCCCAAAACAGACCGATGGCTGTCCCAGAGCCTCCCAATCAGGACCCGGACATGGATGAATGTGGGGCAGAAGTGAGCGCTCCTCTGAATTAAGCTGGTACTTTTTGTCTTCTAGGAGGTCACGAATGATAACAGAGAGGTCCCAATTGGGACACATCAGCAAAGGATATCCCTGTAATGAACAGGTTGGCTGACAGCAAGGACATTGCTAACTCTCCTGTGTGACTTTGGCCACAGTTTTGTTCTTTGCGGTTCAGTGGCTTGTCTCAAAACGAGCCAAAAGTGAATCTTGCCGACCACAGAAATAAGCAAGTTCACACACAGTGGCCGCCAGATAAATCCTTTTAAAAATCGAACTAAACAGAGTCCAACTCACTCTCGACATGGAGCTGGGTCTGAAAACAAACCACGAACCTGTTCAGAGGTAGGAAGTCATTTCGAAACCCCACATTTGCTAGGATCTCACGAGATTCTGCACCTTTGAGGGGCAGAAAGGAATTTGAGGAGGAAGAAGGCAGGGTCTGCCTTTGTTTCAATGAGGGACATCTGCTGGGTAAGTGCGGGATCCCTGAGGGGAACTTGTAGGGGGAGAGGAGAGCATGAGCACCTGCCGCTGGGGCCCTCGCAAAGGCCACGAGCTGCTGAGAATGTCTCCTGGTTTGAGTGTTTTGGGAAACTATTTGCAAAGCTAGCTGCTGGCGACAGTGGTGTGGTCGGCGAAACTATTAAAAGCTGGAAAGCAGTCAAAAATAGCTGCTGGGTCTTGAAGACCCCAAGGCCTTATTCCCCAGTGAAGGAGGCTGGAAGCTCTGGGGGTCCCCGGGGCTGCTGTGGGAAACACAGAGGTGAGGGGAGTGGACGGGACGTGGCAGAGCCCACAGTCCTTTGCAAGCAGCCTTTCTCAATCCGCTTCTCTGAAAGCGGCAGCTATTTTACCCATTCTTCCAAGGATGGTACCTAACTAGGACTGCGATACATTGGAGTAAAGTCGATTCCCGACGAGCCTGATGGAGAAGGCTGCAGGCGTCCATCCAGATTCTGGGCTGAAGGTGAGATCCTGGCAAAAAGCACCCAGGAAAGGTAAATCCTGGCTCCCTCCTGGGTGCTAGGGCATAAGTCATCTCAGCTGCAGAGGCTGGAAAGGGGAGAAGAACCACGAGCACCAGGGAGTGTGCAATTGAGTTAAAAGTTACAAGAAAGAACCTTTGCTGCCAAGGGCCAAAGAGGAAGCAATGTGCATCGGGCACAAATTCTGGTTTTGTTTATTTAACTCCGAGCAGATCTGCCCATCAGCACACGTGTATGTGTGTGTGTGTGCACACACGAGCACACAAATGCACACACGCATACAGAGTCCCAGCACTTAAGGCAAATTGGCCACAGGCCAAGAGAGCAATCCCAGACCCTATAGCCTGCCTCGCACTGTGTCCTCTGGAAAACCAGCTCCACACACAGACTGGAACTGTCTGGCTCCTGCAGGCTCCGTGTCCAGGAAATCCCGCCGAGCTCCCTAATCCAGGCAGGTTACTATTACATGCTTAGGCGGCAAGGCACCCCACTCCCAAGGAACCACCTAATGAAAGCCTCATGTGTCAACTTCAGTTGCACAGACACACTCAGGCTAAATCCCTCATGCCAAAGGGATGACCTCACCGTCGGGCAAACTGGCAGGGACTCCAGAAAGAGAAGGTCGGTGTGTGGGCCAGACCTGCTCCTAATCACAGCCAGCTGGGGTGGACAGAGGCACTGCCCCATCTCCTGCTGTCCCCCAGACACCAGGGTCTATGAGCCCGGAGGCACCGTCAGCCTACAGCTAAGAACCCCAAGCTCCAGCCCAAACACCCCATTTTTTGAGCAGTATCCCAAAAAAAGTGTCTGCCCTTCCACAAGTTTCATGCCAAAGAATAGCTTAATTCAGTAAGGCCGAATCTCTGTGGAGAACCCCCAGTTACAGAAGCTAGAAAGGAAGGATATAATTAGGACCTTTTTTTTTTTTTTTTAAACAGAAGCTCAAAAGGCCCATTAAGCAAAGGACACGAGACACAGTCCATCCATAACCGGAAAGCAGTACCCCAGAAATCCCACTTACCAGCCTCATTCACAGAACTCTTAAAGACACACATTTCAGCCTCAGACTGGGCATCTTTCACTTAGCTCTTTAACACTCAGGCAATGAATAAACTGGTGGAGCAATTCCTTCTTACGTACATCACTGTTCTGTCTTCATGTTGCTGCATTAAATCTTTTGTAAGCAACAAAACAAAACCTCAAAGAAGCTGCGCTTCAAAAGTAAAGAAAGGTGTTTTGACCTGATTTCATCACCATGAAGCAGCTGATGATCTCAGCTTTTTTTTTTTTTTTAAACCTGAGCTTTTGTTAAAGGGATGAATAGAAGTTCTCTACAAGAGAACTGCTTAGTCCTTTTAAGTTCTGATAAGTTCTGCCTTTGGCATTGGTAGCTGAGTATGTAAGTTGTAAATAAATGGGCAGAACTTTGGAAGCTCTTAAACTGAATCCCATATGGAGCTCTGCCCGAGTCCCCATGGGTCCCTTGCACACCCGGGACACACAAGAACCCCTGGGCCTCCAAGGCCTCATGGACTCAGGGAGGATTTGCAACAATGTAAAAACTCCCTGTGAGCTGAGACCCAACGAGTGAATTCGCAAAGAAGTCGGACGGACTTTGATGAACGTGCAAAGAAGTCGGATGGACTTTGATGAAGACCCTTCGATTTCAGAGGAGTAACTCGCCCACAATAAGGCTGGCTCGTTTTTATTAAATGTTGCTAATTCCATTTGCTTGTAGTCCTTTCGACTAGGTTTTGTTATAAGGAGTTGTGGGCAGAGAATCAAAAGCACAGAATCTTCGTTCCAAAAATGGAAGTGTAGCTTAAGATTTCTATTATTTTAAGGAGGAAACTTTTTCTGGAAATGTATCTCCGAAATGATGATGGGGGTCAATGGAAAACAGATTTTGCTATATGATATGCGCTTTGCTCCAGCTTTTCAGAAATATCTAAAGCAAGCAGCTAAATATAAAGCAAGGTCAAATCAGTCCTGCAAAGACATGGTGAGTCACAATCAATCAGAGTTGTAAGGACAAGGCTGCGCTGCTTATACCACTGAACACCCCTGATGAAACATCCCTTCCCTGAACCAGAAAATAAATGTCCACAGCTGCACTTGGTGGCTGGTGCAGGAGTTCATTCACCATATGGTCACCCTTATTATCATCCTTCCAGCAATTCCAGCAAGCTAACGGGAGAGAGCTGGTTCTTCCAATCAGCTGCAGGCCAAGCAAACATCTCCCTACCACGGTCTTTTCCTCCAAGGGACTTCCTGACCCCAGGCTCTGCTTCCTGCTTTTTCCTTGTATACTTCATGCTCTACCTGAGAGTCCCAGTGCCCACCACTTTGGACCCCCCTTAGGCCTGGGATTGAGCTGCTTTTCAGAGTGGGGCGAGTGTGTGTTGAAAAAAAAAAAAAAAAGAAGAAGAAGAAGGCTTTTTCTTGGACCTTCAGCCAAGGCAGAATCTAAATAGGGTCACAACTGGTCTGGGATAGCCTCAGGGTTTTGAAACAGGAAAGAACCTTAAAGATGTCACGTGTCACTTTTTAGAACTTTTAAAATACAGTGAAACCCTTTTCCCCAGTGAGGCTGTATATAGAAACCCAGTAAGTGAAACAGAGAGAAAAGAAACTGTTATTATACCCATACAGTGGCATATGATTTGGCCATTAAAAAAAAAAAAGTACAAATACATGCTATAATGTGGGTAAACCTTGCAAACATTATGCTAGGTAAAAGCAGCCAGTCACAAAGGACCACACATTGTAGGATTCCATCTTATATGAAATGTCCAGAGAGAGGCAAATCCAAAGAAACAGAAAGTAGATTAGTGGTTGCCTAGGGCCTGGGGGAGAGAGGGACACGAGGTGGCAGCTGAAAGGTCACGTTTCTTTTTGGAGTGGTGACAATGCTCTAAAATTGATTACAGCGTGGTTACCCCAATCTGTGAATCCACTAAACGCCATTGAATCACACCGTTTAAATGGGTGAGTTTTATGGCATGTGCACTCTATCTCTGTAAAGCTATTGAACAGGGAGGGAGGAGAGGTGGAAAGATCTGTGATGGCTGTTCCAGCAGCCAGACCGCCTCCCTCACCCTGTTCCCTCCGGTGGCCCCAGAACCATCTTTGCAGGCCGCAGGGACTGCACGGAGTGTTGTTGGAACACCCTTGATCTAGCCCTCAAATGTAAACCAAGACATGACCCCAAGCCTTTTGACCCCAAGTGCAAGGCCCTTTAAAGCCAAGTTCTCACTGATGAGCTGGGGCTCATCCTGGGGGACACGCTGTGCGCCCGGGGCTCACCGTCCATGTCCAGGCGCTGCATGATGATGGCCAGCTCCACCTCACTCGGCATGTACCCCAAAGAACGCATGGCCATTCCTAGCTCCTGCTTGGAGATGAAGCCATTCCCATCTCGGTCCAGAACCCGAAAGGCCTCTCGGATCTCTACAAGGGGAAAGCAAACAAAGTCCGATGGTCACATGGCTTGGTCTGTTGCATTGAAATTACCAGTGATCCTCTACTGAACACTCCTAACGGCCTTACAAATACTAATATGTCAGAACCCTTTAATCAGATAAAAGGGCGGCCAAAAGAGGGACAAAAGGAAGAAAGGGGAATGAAAAACAAGGAAAGGAAGAGAAGGGGAAAAGGAAAAAAGAAAACCAGCCCCAAGCATCCTTAAAACACCAGTCGCCGCACAATTCGACAGTGCTCCCAGCGGAGACGTGTTCGCTGAAGCCACTTCCTGGGCAGGAACGAGCAGGTTAGGTTTCAGCCTTGAGGACAGTGCTGCCTCTTAACCTGGGCTCTTCGTTTGCAGGAAACAAGAACGAGATTCCCCTCCGCAGGCTCGTGTGTCAGCCCCCTGCTGCAGGTGGAGCTGTACAGAAGGCTTTTTTTTTTTAACCCCGTAGGAAGACAGAAGTTACTATCCTGCTGTTTTTATTTCATCCTCTAATTTACAGCTATTTTACGGCTATAAACAACCTCAGATCGATAAGAGTGTCATAAAAGCCCAAAAAAGGCATCTTTAATCACATTCTCTCCGGGCCGGCAGAGGATCTAATATCAGTAAGGCCATCCCACTCAGCAGGTGATCGCCCATCCTCTGACCCCAGCCTGAGCTGTTCTGCCTTCGGCCCAGAACCCCTCCCTCCAGAGCCCACATGGCCTGTCGGTCCTGGGTTGGCTGAGCATTAACACATCACACCGCCACGAGGCATGGCGTGGAGAATTCAAGATCAGAGTCTGAAAATGACAGGTTCATCAGTGGTGTCTGGGCACCAGACTTGGCTAGCTTTGACTTTTCATCGATAAACCCAGCGCAAGCAGGTATGGTCACTGCCAACATTCACCACGCTGTTCAGCAAGAACTGGCTGTCCAGGACGCCTGGGTGGCTCAGTTGGTCAAGCAGCTGCCTTTGGCTCAGGTCATGATCCCAGGGTCCTGGGATCGAGCCCCCACATCGGGCTCCTTGCTCAGCAGGAAGCCCGCTTCTTCCTCTCTCTCCCTCTGCTTGTGTTCCCTCTTTCAAATAAATAAAATCTTAAAAAAGAAAAAAAAAAAGAATTGGCTGTCCGTACCTGAAGAGCATGGAAGTAAGTACGTCAGAGAATCAACAACATGTTACCCAGGGGCACCACCGTTCTCCTCCAGAGTCCTACACTCCAGTTGGGAAGGAAGGACTCATGCGGAAACTGACAGAAACTCTTGAAACGAACCCAAGACACTGGCCCTAACCCGTTTACCTACTGCTTCTCGAAATAGCTGACTATGCTCCCGGACAACACCTGGAACCACACCCTTACCCGGACAAGCTCTGGCCTCTTCCCATTTGTACGAATTTCCTGGGGCTGCTGTAACAAATCACGACAAACGCTGTGGCTAAAAACAACAGAAATTTCTTTTTTTTTTTTAAGATGTTATTTATTTATTTGATGGAGAGAGAGAGAGAGAGCGCGCAAGCAGGGGGAGCAGCAGAGGGAGAGGGAGAAGCAGACCCCCTGTGGAGCAGGGAGCCTGACATGGGGCTCGATCCCAGGACCCTGGGATCATGACCTGAGCCCAAGGCAGACACGTAACCAACTGAGCTACCCAGGTGCCCAACAACAGAAATTTCTCCTCTCACAATCTGGAAGCCGAAGTACGAAATTAGGATCACTGGACCAAAATCAAGGTGGGGACAGGGCTGTGCTCTCCTAGGGCAGAATCTGTCCCTTGCCTCTTCCAGCTTTGGGTGGCTGGCTGCCGACATTCCTTGATTTGTGGCCAGGTCCCTCCAATCTCTGCCTCCGTGGCCACATCGCCTTTTCCTCTTTTTTTTTTTTAAATAAAGATTTTATTTATCTGATAGAGAGAGAGCACAAGCAGGGGGAGTGGCAGGCAGAGGGAGAGGGAGAAGTAGGCTTCCCACCGAGCAAAGAGCCCGATGCAGGGCTTGATCCCAGGACCCTGGGATCAGGACCCAAGCTGAAGGCAGACGCCTAACCGACTGAGCCACCCAGGCGCTGCCCTTTTCCTCTTCTGTCTGTGATCTTCCTCTGCCTTCCACTTCTAAGGACACTTGTGATGGCATTTAGGACCCACCCAGATAACCCAGGATAAGCTCTCCATCTCAAGACCCTCAACTTAACATCTGCAAAAGCCTTTTTTTTTTTTTAAGGAAATATTTACAGGTTCCAAGGTTGAGGACCTGATTCCTCTGGGGCCCGATTTTCAGACTGCTGCCCTCTCCCACCCCAGGATTTCCACCTGGAATGCCTTGCCTTCCTCTTTAGCTGCCCAAATCCTGTCGGTCCTTCAAGGCTGAGTCAGGAACCATGGGTTCCACAAAAATGTCTTTGCCCACCATGGCCAACGTTCTCTCCCTTTCTGCTCCTGTTCAGTGGTTCATTCGTTCCTTTCTCATGATGTCAGCCCATCCCATCTAAAGATACGATGGTTGGTGCAGAAGTCATACATCTCTTGTATGTATCTTGCATGTATCAGAAATCATCTCTTCATACACTTCATTCATCTTTGTATTCCCACCGACACCTTGAAGGAGGCATTACACAGACTGCAAATTCACTATTAATACTAATTCTGCACGTTCAGTGCTTTCTGAGAATAAGTGTGGGCTCCAGCAGACAGAAGACCAGCCTGTGAGCCGGGACCTTAGGCTCCTGGCCAGGCGCATTAGCTAATTAGGTCCCCAGCCAAACCCTGAGGCCTCAGATTGTTCATGTGTAAAATGAGCTGCGTTGGCCACGAGGATCCCTAAGGTCCTTCCAGACCTTTTCTGGGGATCTGTGGACATTGTTAAAGTGTTTAAGAGAAGAACAGGAAGCCTGTGTTCTCTTTCATACCCTATTAATCTACTGTTCAAACACCCCTCTTTTTTCCATTGAGGATAAAGAAAAAATTTCAGTCTGGTCCAAATTCTGAATCAAGGGGTTTGTCTGCACTTTTAGGCTTTTCTCGCCCATGAAACTTGCCCAAGATTCCCTCAGGCAGACATATGTTTTCCTACCAAATCCCAGGTGGCCCGGAAAGAGCTTAGAGTCACTGCTCAGCATGAGGTCATGGCACACAACACTCAAGGACAGTGGGGCGGAGACCACGGCCTCATGTGGCCTGAGCCCAGATGTCGAGGGCAGGAGGATGCAGATGCAGGGTCTCCCGAGGTGGGAGTCAGCCCACAAGGAAGTCAGTCCGGCCCTGCCCTACACCCGGGGCAGGCTTCTCCCTCAGCCTCGATTGCCCCATCTGAAAAATGGGTTGGGTTGGCTCTCCTTCTAGCCTCTCTAATGGGGCTCTACTTCAGAGCTGGCGTGTACCATGCAATAGTAGGAAATGTCAGATGATGACAGGGGCCTGGCCTGGAGGCAAAGAAGAGGCCAGGGTCTTAGATGGGCCACCTGGATTGCCGGCTGCACGCTGAGCTCGGCCCCTTGTCCTCCTTTCCCGAGGCACATCTCCACTCACCATCCCTCTGACTCAATCCTGAGCTCCCTGGCTGTTTCGATCACTCCGACAGGGCAATCCCCTCCTGTTGACAGGGTGACAGGGTCTGGCCTCATTCCTGTGATTCCCCTGCATATGCCCTAGATCTCACAAATGAACAAGGCTGTATCCTTACACCGGACACCCCGGAGAGGCCTGAGCGAGGATGTGTGTGAACTTGGCCTAGAAATAAAGGCCTTGATGGGTGTGCCTCCCGACCCCCACCTCACTGCCCGGGCTACTCCTAGAGCCACCTCACCCTTGGGCTGCAGGAGTCAGACGGAGGCCACCGCAGAGCTGGCCTGCTGGGAAGGGATGTGATCCCTTGAGGCCTCACACCCCCATAGTTTGCCGTCTGCCGTAAGTAAGCAGGCCAGCCCTGCTCCAGCCCAAGACAGCACAGCGCAGGTACAAACCAGCTCAGAGTTCTGTTTTCTGCGGCCCCCAGGTAAGTGGGACAAAGCTGCACTTCTCTGTTTGCCCAGAATTTCTGCTCCTGGCTCCCAAATAGAGAGAGAGAGAGAGAGAGAGAGAGAGAGAGTGTGTGTGTGTGTGTGTGTGTGTGTGCAGACAAAGCTCACTAACTTCATTTTCTTTCAAAATAACAGAGGGGGGGGGTGCAAAAAACTAGAAATCCATAATGGGAGCCTCTGGAGATTTACTCTTTCCAGGGTAGGGAAAGCCCAGGCAAATGAGAAGCTTATTAGAAGGAAATGGGTCTTGCAGCCGGAGACATGTGATGTGTGCCTCGTTTTATTTTTATTTTTAATAGCAGAACAGGGTGTGAGAAATATGCCCATAAAACCAGCGAGACACAGAAGCAGGCCGGACCCCCCTGCCTATGGCTACAGGCAGGCTGCTGGCACACGGAGGGGCCCTGGCCACTCTCCACATCCTTGGGAAGTGAGGACCACAGATCAGGTTTCAGGAACAACCCCGTAATGCGGTGTGCTTTTTGCTGGAATTTATCCCCTCTCTGGGCTAAAGTCCCCAGTGCTTCAGAGTTACATAAGCGTGCTGTGCTTTCGGTCTTTAAGTCAGTTTCATGGTCATATCAGACACCAGCATGGCAATTCACCCACCGGCAAGAGGCCTTTGCAGGTTCCAGAAGGGGCCATGGTGATGGCGATGAGAGCCCGGCCAACCACCATTTTGTGGACTATGAAAGGAAGCGTCATACAACACACCTTCTGGCAAAAGGAATCCACTCTTTGCATAGGGAATCTCCCAGAACAAAGTCTGCATTCCCACAGGGGAATGCACCTCTCCTCCCTGATATTCTGGAGCCAAGCAAGGTCTGGACTAGAAATCAATCTGCTCTAGAGCCCAAAAGATTTACTTCTCATTACACCAGCAAGTGTGTCTTCTTAAAACCATCAGATCACCACTGGTAACACCTGCATCCCAACCCAGTGCCCCCTAAGAACCAGGCTTCAGTTCCATGACGACCCCAGGGACAT